TACTTTACTCTAAAAAACCACATGAGGGAATGACAAATGTAAAAAATTTTACCTGGTTTGTTTCATTCAAATTTATTCCACAGCAAAGCTTCTTTAAGTTGAAGTTGGAAACATACTGCAATTTTGTTCTATGATGCCAGTTGTTAACTGCTAAAGTTTTTATTAAAATATTTTTATTCTAAGAAGATTGCAGGTGATAAGAACATTGTTGTGAGGGAATGATGCGAAACACTAAGGACAAAGTTTGAAATGGTGCTGTGTTAATATTTTTATCAGAAATTAATTTTTAAATTGATTTTCTGAATTCTATATTTCAATATTCTGAAATAAAAAACACGAATTTGTAATTTTTTTTATTTTTATTTCAGAAATAAAGTNATTTTTTTTCGTAAGTTGTAAAACAAACATAAAATATACTGGGGACATGAAAATGACTGTTTTTGTGAGAACGACCCATATATATATACAGGGTCTTTATAATTAAAGTTCCACTTTGAAATGGCTATAAAAATAAAACTACCCGACCGAATGTCATCAAACATTGTAAACGTCTATAAAAGGTCGTGGGATTTTAGTTCCCGCAAAAAAAAAATTTACCTCTAGCGGAGAATGGCGCTGTATGCAATAGTGTTAAACAAATGTGAAATATGCAAATTTGTTTTACACGTCTTTTACCGTAAATTTGCCGTAAACCTTGCTGTGTCATTGGACCTCGGCGTTTTCCTCTTACAGTACGGAACTTTTGTAAAGCCCTCCGTTCATTGCTGTCGCATTCATAGTAACATTTCACGAGCAAAGCACGGTCTTGCATGGTAACAGACATTATCGACTCAGAACACTGACAGCTCAGACAAGGCGTCTCACTTTTATAACTGCAAAGTCACATGACGTGTAAAACAAATTTGCATATTTCACATTTGTTTAACACTATTGCATACAGCGCCATTCTCCGATGGTGCTGAATTTTTGACATTTTGTTTTTTTGCGGGAACTAAAATACCATGACCTTTTATAGACATTTACCAAGTTTGATGACATTTGGTCGGGTAGTTTTATTTTTATAGCCATTTCAAAGTGGAACTTTAATTATAAAGAATCTGCAATTGGTTTCTCTTTATAAGCTACAGATTGTTTTTAAAAAACTGACATTTTTGGACTATTTTCTGTAAAAAAATAAAGTTTAAAAATGTCATTTATAACAGGGGGTTGCATAAATGTTGCACCAACCTTTTAAGGGAGCTGGGGCAGATCATAAGGGCAAAATTAAAATGGAACCGCTAGGTGTGCTTCACTATTGTGAACTGTTTCCTCGTGTGCGTCTGAACAGGTCATAATAATAAAGTACCCCTAGCCGCGTGTAACGATATTTTTGGGCTATGCAATTTTCACCCTGATGATGTGCCTTAACTTCCCTAAAAGTTTGGCGCAACATTTATGTGACTTCCTATTATATATAACGTTTTTAAACTTGTACATTTCGACAGGAAATTGACAAAAAAAATTTGATTTATAAAAAGTCCGTCGCGTTAGGAGCTAAAAAAATTTCAGATTTAAAGTCCTCACACCCGCTTTAGGTAAGATCAAGTTTTTGCAAAAATGCAACAAGACATTTCTTCCCCAGTATTATTCTTAAATATCTAATGAATTTTCTTTGGGCGTAATTGTATTAACAAACTAAGCTCTGCAGTTATCATGTGATTTAGACAAAAAAGAAACAGTACTTTTGAAAGACAAATAAGCTAAATTTGGATTTATGTTTTAAAAAGGTTGTATGGCTATTAAATATCAGTTTTAGTTTGTTTGTTTTTTTGCTTCCATTAATATTAATTTACTTAACCTTTCTCAAGTTTTAAATTTAATAATTTTATTAATTTATATTTTTATTTCATTTAGGTAGATTTACCCATCAAACAGTATCAAAAAACATTATTCAAATAATCCGACTTTTCTCTAAATGTCTAAATTAAAAGGGAAAAACTAATGTTCTTTTGTTTTTGTTCTAATTTTTTAAAAAATGTTTTTATGAAATTTTGCAACTTTTAATATTAACGCATGTTGAGAGTTTGAGGTTTTTTTGCAGTTTTTAAAACAAATGTTGTGATAAATGAAAAGCCGCTTAAATATTTAATTTTTTTTTATTCTTAAGCTAACGATAAATAGTTAAGAATTTAAATTTCACAATCAAGAGCTTATGTATGATCTTAGAATGTAAATTTGGTTCATCAATTTGTTATCTTAAATGTCATAATCTCTAAACAAAACATTTTCTTTCAATAATATTTTATGAATATTTTATTTTGCGTTCGTTTCACAAGTAAATATTTGTTTCTATCCGACAAGGACATCTGTAACTGGGGGGTATTAACCTTCCGTTATATACGCTCTAAAATATGTGGGTCTGACTTACGCCGTAATTCTGAATGCAACATTCATTCTCTTTTTCTGTCTTTAATTTCGGCTATTATGTTCTACGATTTGACAAGGGCATGTGACAAAACCGAAGATTTATGCAGTGAAACCTCTCGGGAGCGGCCACTTTCTGTTTCACAGTAAACTGGTTGTTAATGGAGGTTGTTTGTTCTTAGCGGTTACCTCCATTAATTTCAAAATCTCATCGAAGGTACATGATTTTTTGCAAACGATTTTTCTTTCAGTTATTGTTATTTTCTTGGTGCGGAAATACTATTTGTGTTAGCGTCATGAAAACCGGATCGATAAATAAATTTAGGGTCAATAAAAGTGATCCCTGCTTATATAATTTAGTCTAAAAATGCGGTATTGGTCTTCGTTAAACTGTTCTACCGTAAAGTGTTCGACTTCGCGTGCAGGTCGTTGGGCTACTGAAACGGGATGCTATCCCCTGTGCAGAGGATCAAAATTGTGGTGGCATGTCTTCGGATCATCCTCAGGAATGATTCCCAGACCGTCGCTAATAGCCCATTGTGCAGCTTTAGTGTGACGTAAATGAACTACAACTACAACAACCTAAGGTTTTATACGAACTGTGAAAGGTTTCAACTGGCTCATGTCCCGTAACCACTGGAAAGCATCAGCGCTTATAAACAAACAACATAGAAATGATTGATTGACTGAAGAACTTGAACTTCAAAATACTAATCCGCACTCTCTTAGTGGCATGTCATTCCCCAAAATATTGAATACCGTTTTTCATTACTATTGCGTGTAACAAAATTAGTCAAACGTCAGTTAAATATTTGTGTGCTATTTAATTCGAAACGTTGTGATTCTTTTCTGACTTCTGCCGTGATCATACCAGCACACTTTCCTTTTCTCGTATATTTTGCTTTAATTATACGTCTCGCCGATAAATGATGAAGATCTTAATAAACTTCGAGGTTCGAATGTGCGTTTCAATTTTCACAGATGGGAGGTATCTCGGGTGTTTTTCTTGTACCCGATCCTAGGCTATTAATTACTTATTTATTTATGTATTTATATGTTATATACTTATTATTATATCAGGCTATTAATTACTTATTTATTTATATATCTATTTATTTATTAAAATCTAATCTATTAACTTGCAAGGCCATGTCAAACGTAAGGTGTTGTCTTTCCGTCAAACATCCTTAAGCGTGGAAGTAGTGTGTTTGATTCATGCCTGGATTCCGTTTGATAAGCCTTTAGTTATAACTTTTAATCTTTGTTTTCTTTTTATTTCTGTCATGTTCTTTTGCTGTTAGTGTAACTTATTCTTCAATTTGTTAACTTATTCTTCAATAATAGTTTTAGCATACAAGACTGCAAATTTATACATAAATGATTGAGTAAAACATAAAGATGCATCCAGTGTATTTTTAAAATTGAACCACTTACCTCAAGGCAGCAGAGATTTTGGCGTAATAACAACTATTCTCAATCGGATATGCAGTCGACTCGAACGGCTTACAAGCGACAAATTACAGAACAGAAAAGACTTTTTACAGAATAATATCACTAAGAGTCAATTTTAATCTCGGGAGCAGTTCTATCTACATTTTCCTTTATTTATGGGTCCTGCAGTGGAGTGATTGTAAAGACACAGTGGAACAGCGAAGTCAAGAATCACTGGCTGTGGTCAGTTATTGGGTGGGTGACCACTTTGATCAGCCTGCGTAGGGACCGAGGGTGCACGGTATCAGTCCTCCTTAAACTATTCTACCGTAAAGTGATCGACTTCGCGCACAGGTCGTCGGGCTACCGAAGCGGGGGTGCCATCCTCTCCGCAGAGGATCAAAATTGTGATGGCATGTCTTCTGATCATCCTCCGGGATGTTTCCCAGACCGTCGCCAATAGCCCATTGTGCAGCTCTAGTGTGACGTAAATTAACAACAACAGAGTTGTGGAATTTGAACCCACCGCTTCCACGCTATCGATCGAGCTGCAAGATTGTCTTGTCTATAATTTAAACAAGTTATTAATCGAGCAAAAAAAACAACAGGAAACGTATCACATAAAGAAAATTTCAAATTTGACATTGTTCTGAACTCGTTTAAGATTCCAATATAATCAGTAAGGCAGTTCGATTTCCGGATGCTAAATTCTTTGATTTTTAAATAGGCAAATATTTATGTTTAAACTTCGAAAATTGTTACAATATTCTCTGACCATCTCTGTTTAAATAAATATAAGGTTTATTTTAAATTTTATTGCGTTGCTGCATTGTGTTTGTTTATACAGCGTTGTAATGTTGATTGAAGTCTTAACAATATTTTTATCTTCACAAATTGTGTCAATTTAACAATACAGTAATGCTATTTTTTTATTTTAATTAATTTAAATTAGATAAAAGCTTTTAAAAATATTCTTGAAACAAATCTATTATTCATCCAAGTTCGTCCATCTAATTTTCGCAATAAAATTAAGTTAAACCTCAAATTCGTATAAAGCCGGTTTATTTTACTTTTTTGCTTGTCACATATGATTAACCATTTTGATTACTTCTCAATCGAACGAATCTCTTTTGATGTACCTGTTAAATCCGATTATTTATTTTCAGATGACGTGGCGGCACTGACCGGCTGTGAGCGGGTACTTCTAGAATATGGAAGATTTGATCAAGATTGTCAAGGACCTGTCCAGCAAGAGAAGAACGAACCTTTTATTAGTGTCCTCGACCATCTTGCTGGTCACGTTCATGGTATGCACAGAGAACAGTGAAGCCAAGAAATGGACAATGGAAGAACTAGCCGCTACAAATTTCCAACACAAAGTTTCCAACGATGTTTACATGGATCCTTGCAAATCAGGTAAGCAACTCTTCTTTATTTTATCACTTACTTTAAAAAACACTCAGATCAAATCTGTCTGATTTGATCTGAGTGTTTTTTAAAGTAAGATCTTTAGTATTAACAACTTATTTGAAGAAAAGCTGATAACCTTGTTATTTGATCACAAATATTACTAACATGGCTGCATAATATACACTAAACACAGTTCTCGAAAAATTTTTCACCATCGTGAAACATTTTTTACTATTAACTAAAGAAAAAAAACTTCGTCTCTTGAAAGAGTTTCTCTTTTGGAATCCTGTGAAAAACATTCACTATTACGGTTTTTCATACCAATGCAAACGCGATTTAAAATTACATTCATATGATTTGAAACTGCACATCGCGATTTCTATTTACACGATTTAAGATCGTGCATCATTTTTCGTATTTTCATGATTTTATATTACTTATTGAGTTTCGTATTCACGCGATTTAAAAGCTACTATTAAGATTCGTGCTCAAGTGACTTAAAAATCATACATCGAAATTCCTATTCACGCTATTTTGAAATGAAACACAGAGATTCATATTCACATGATTTTAAAATGCAACATTGAGTTTAATGTTCTTGAGAATTTAAAATGAAACATCGATATTCGTATTAACACTATCATAAAATCAAATATCGAGATTAGTATTAAAGCGATTTTAAAATTAAATGTAAGGATTCATATTTACATGGTTCAAAAATTACACTATGAGACTCCTCTCTATTTACACAATATAACTAAATAAATAAATAAAATACTCTCCTCTGGGGATAAATCTACATACTTTTTTATTGCTCAAATTTCAGGAATGTTTCTAATTATTTGAAAAGTGTTTCTGCATATAAAAGTTTTTGATCTATCTTATAGTTTTTTTGTTTTTTTACCAAACTCATCCCAGTGGCATAAACCGGTAGTTTTATAAAAACTGAAACATTATTTTCAAAAAAAAACAGTGATTTTTAAGCAAATTTCGCCAAGATGAAGTTACGACGGAAGGGTTGGAACTAGTTACAAGAGTTAATCAATTGCTTGTGGAAAGTTTTTGATTTTATCTAAATCTGGTAATAATTTAATGGAATAATTGCATTACATGACATTCATTTTCAATATACAATTTGATGTCAATTGATGTTACTAAATAATTAAATAGATTCTTAACATAAGAAAACTATATTCAATTCGTTTACATTCAGTCGATTTGTAATTAACTAATTGTAATATGAATAACATTTAATGAAACAAAATTTTCCAAAATATAAGAACGAAAAAAATAATTACAGTTTGTCGAATGCGATGTTTTTATGAGTTTGAAGATCCCGAAATCAATTAAGTTATAAAAAGTATTTGAGAAAAAATTTTACTGATAATCGAGAAATAATTTTATCGAAAAAGTTTAATGAAGATTTATGAAAAAATAAATATCTTGAAATAGTTTTTGTAACAAAGTATTTTTTTCTTAACTAGTAGAATAACTAGTAAGTAAAACGAAAAGTACTTTAAGTTTCGTTATTTGTCATGAAACGGAAAATATTAATAAGTTTTCTGCATAGATTAGAATTCAGATTAGCGATATAAGGACAATATCTGCATCATTCGATTATCAAGAGCTTGAACCTTGTATTGCTATCAAGTTCAGAGCTGCAGTTGATGTTTAAAACTTGTATATGTCACGGAGAATGACCGAAATCGGTGGTTGTTGACTTTCACCGGTGAATGTTGACAATCACATAGTCGCTTTGGTGAATGTCCGAAATATTTATTACATTTGATTTGATATGGATTTATTCGTGGATATAATTACATTTATTCGATATTTTAATACTTACTGACGATAGATCAGAAGAAACATCAGTGTTTGGAGTATCGGGCCATACATTTACATTTGACTGGTATACATTTGCCCGGTATACCCTACACTGATGTTTTTTTAAGGTGAAGTGCCACTGCCCGGTATACCCTACACTGATGTTTAAGGTGAAGTGCCACTGGCCGGTATACATTTGCCCGGTATACCCTACACTGATGTTTTTAAAGGTTAAGTGCCATAGCCTGGTATACATTTGCTCGGTATACAGTACACTGATGTTTTTTTTAAGGTGAAGTGCCATTAGCCGGTATACATTTGCCCGGTATACCCTACACTGATGTTTTTTAAGGTTAAGTGCCACTGCCCGTTATACATTTGCCCGGTATACCCTACACTGATGTTTTTTTAAGGTCAAGTGCCATAACCCGGTATACATTTGCCGATACTCCAAATACTGATGTTTCTTCTAATCTATCGTCAGTAAGCTTTAAAATATAGAATAAATATAAATATATCAAATAAATATAATAATATCAACGAATAAATTAACATAAAATTGGATATAACAAATATTTCGGACATTCACCAAAGCCACTGTGATTGTTGACATTCACCGGTGAGAGTCAACATTCTCCAGATTTCGGCCATTCACCGTAGCATATACATTTTAAAACTTAGGTGGAATTTTTTATTGACGAAAAATGCTGTTTGTAGCGGTTAAGAAAAAATAAAATTGACTCTGGTGTTCTTCTCAGACACAAATGTGCAGTTTAAATTTTAAACATTGCAGCTAGTTAAAGATCCAAATTTTGATTCCAGAACTCCAACGTTAAAAACACATAAAGTTTAGACATAATAAAATGTTGTGAAATTTGAATAAAGTAATACATTGTTTAGAGAGAAATAGCTACTGTATTTTAAAAATATAAATTCATTTCGTTCCAATAACTCACGCGTAAAATTAAAAGAATGATTTTTTTTCCTTTCTGCATCAGATATTTTTTTCTTTTAAAAAATAAGCATTTTCAATTTTAAAGACCTTATAAGAACAATGAAGATTGACTTTTTTGTGTAATGTGGATTTTGTTTTTTATCTTCCCACTTAATGTTTATAAAAAATAAGCATTTTTCATTTTAATAAAAGAGAGAGAAATAAGTGGTAACTTTTTTTCGTGGGAAAAACTATCGTGTCGGTCTATTTTATATAGAATCGCTAGGATAACATTTTCTCCAAATAGCTTTATTTGAAATTGCTCTTCACAGTAATGAAAATTCAGTTACTACTTTTATTAAAAGCTTGCGATTTATTGATTTCAGATATATTGGCGTCTATCTACCCCTTGGTGCAAATATTTATAAAAATAATTTATAGAATTATATAGCTGTTTTTCCTGTTTTTGATTTCAAAATGCTTTTTTTTAATCTTTAATAAGTATTTAGAATCATTTTAATTATTTAAGAATAAATCAGTTGTTTGTTTTCTATTATATTTTCAACAAATACCGGAAGCAGCTTGCGAGGAGTTGTCGTAAAAGGACTTGGCAAGCGCGAACTATGCAAATCGTGGGTAGTTGTACTGTTTTCAGTGTCATTTATTTGAACTTACGTAACCCAATTTTAATTGCAAGGTATCTGCAATTTGAGATTTTTTTTGTAAATTATTACATGGGTCTAATTAAAACATGGGTCTGCAATTATATTGTATTTACATACCGATGTTTTTTAAAAAGGGTAAGGCAACTTATATCCTTTGTATAAGCGACTGGTGTTACCTGTAAAGAAACTTGTACTACTTGCAAACCTGCTTGTGCCACTTGAGAACCGACTTGTGGCACTTGCAAACCGACTTGTGCCACTTGAGAACCGACTTGTGCCACTTGAAAACCGACTTGTGCCACTTGAAAACCGACTTGTGCCACCTGTAAAGCAGCTTGTGGCACCTGTAAAGCAGCTTGTGGCACCTGTAAAGCAGCTTGTGCCACCTGTAAAGCAGCTTGTGCCACCTGTAAAGCAGCTTGTGCCACTTGAAAAGGGACTTGTGCCACTTGAAAAGGGACTTGTGCCACTTGAAAAGGGACTTGTGCCACNCTTGAAAACCGACTTGTGCCACTTGAAAACCGACTTGTGCCACCTGTAAAGCGACTTGTGCCACTTGAAAAGCGACTTGTGCCACTTTAGAATTGATTTGTGCCACTTGAGAACCGACTTGTGCCACCTGTAAACCGGGTTTTGCCACTTGAAAAGCGACTTGTGCCACTTGTAAAGCGACTTGTGCCACAAGAAAGATGAATTATATCATTTGAAAAATAATTTACTTGAAAAAGAAGGACTGCGCTATTAACGAGTCAAGTAATTTGAAAATTGAATTTGCATTTTCTACTTTGCACGTATTGCAATCTGTGACAATATATGCAAATTTTGTTTCCAAAAATGCTTTTAACCAGAATTTTTCAATTTCATAATCAATTGCTCATACAGATTATACGACTGCTTTTCAATATCTTTTCTAAAACACCAATAGTAACTTTATAACACAAATTAAATACATCTCTTAATAAAAGCAATAACGCAACAGAACTTTTCTCACAAATATTGACACAGATTCCAGACAGAGAAAAAGAACAACCAAGTAATTCATTTCGAGGACCCCTTCTATCGATAAACAATCGAATCAGGGAAGGAAATCCGAACGTAATAAGCGCTTTTAATCACGTGATGTCGGTCCTTTAATAATGTAATGAAAGTCATAAATCCCATGTTTTCCCGATATGGTTGTGTATATTCTGTCATCTGCAGCAAGAGATGGGAGATATTTTACTACCCATATTTCATCCTGCTTTAGATGAAAGTTTATCGTTATCTAAGCAATATTTATTTATCTCGATTAATTGAACTTCCTAACGAATTCTTTCATGTTCTAACCCCCATATCGAATGTTTATTGGTGAATTAATTTGATATCATCCTATGCAAACGTAATATATATGTATTATTTACTGCATTTTAAATTCGAATTTACAGTTTTAACTTATCTCATTGAACATAAATTCAACTAAGTCAAAAAGCTTAGATTCAAATCAGTAGTATTGCTCTGGAATATCAGTCATTTCTAATTTTTCCATACTAACTGCCAATTAAGCTGGTAACATTACAAATTTAAATCGCTAATTTAATCACATT